TTTTTTTTTATCATGAATGGGTGTTGAATTTTATCAAATGCTTTTTCTGCATCTATTGAGAGGATCATATGGTTTTTGTCCTTGACTTTGTTAATATAATGTATTACATTTATTGACTTTCGTGTGTTGAGCCACCCTTGCATCTCTGGAATAAACCCGACTTGGTCAGGATGGATGATCTTCTTGATAATCCTCTGTATTCTGTTTGCTAGTATCTTATTGAGGATTTTTGCATCTATATTCATTAAGGAGATTGGTCTGTAGTTCTCCTTTTTAGTTGCATCTTTCCCTGGTTTGGGAATCAAAGTGATACTTGCTTCCAGGAATGAATTTGGAAGTATAGCTTTCCTTTCAATTTCATTGAAAGGTTTGAAGAGTAATGGCAGTAGTTCTTCTCTAAATGTCTTGTAAAATTCAGCAGTGAATCCATCAGGGCCTGGGCTTTGCTTTGTTGGTAAATTTTTAATTACATTTTCAATTTCACTGACTGTAATTGGGGGTGTTTAAAATATTTTTATCTTCTTTGTTCAACTTTGATAATTAGTAAGTATCTAAAAATCTGTCCATTTCTTCTGTGTTTTCCATTTTATTGGAGTACAGTTTCTCAAAGTAGGTATTCATGATCTTCTGGATTTCTTTTGGATTTGTTGTGACTTCGCCTTTTTCATTCCTGATTGCATGGATCCAGAATCTGATATTATTGAGGTAACTTACCAACTGCAAGTGAATGAGTGCATAAATATTTATTACTTTTTTACAATTTTGGTGCAGGGGATTGAACTTGGGTCCTTGTGCTTACAAGGCAGGCAGCAGAACCACTGAGCTAAATCCCCAGCCTGTGAGTGTACAAATATGATTGATCTGAAATCCTGAGAAACATGTGGATATCAACATAGACAAAAAGTCCAAGCACTGCCACAGACTAAACAATGTAAAGTAAATATTCTTCTGTGAAAAATTGTATTTTGCAGAGGCAATACTTTCTGTCCCTCGTGTTTTTCTGTAATGTGACCTTGACATTCCTCCCATTAAGAGCAAGAATCTAATTCCCTGCCTCTGCGTCTCCACTTACTGGAGGAATGGAATGAAGTGAAAGCGACTTTCTGGCACTTGCAGAGCTAAACATCTTGCAGCTTCCATCCTGGGTCCCTGGAACACTCCCTCTTGAAACCCAATCCCGTCCTGAGAAGCCACATGGGAAAGCTCGAATGGGTACTTCGCTTGGTAACCCAGCTGAGCTCCAGTGCCTAGTGTCAGGTGAGCGAGTGAACCTTCTCGGTCTGAGCCCGCTGATCCTGCAGAGGTCTGCGGCTCCAGCTGACAGACCAGGAAGCCTAGCCCATCACAGTGCTCTGACTTAAGACACAAAGTTTCCATGGTTTCTCACATGGTAACAGGTAACTGGAACACCCTCCCAGTTCTCTTTTCTGGTGTATTGTATATTTTTCATCATATTTTATGCATATATGAGAGGTGAGAAGCGTCTGACTTTACCCCCTTTTTCCTGTGATGGGGTGGGGGGAGAATGGTTTGGCTGTCAAGCCACTCCACTTTGCCTCCCTTTACTCCTGCTTGGTCCCTATCCCCAAGATGGGCTGTGAGACCTTGCCTCGGTGTTCTCCCTGCTTAGTTAGCAGCCACTTTCCTCCAGGATGCTCTGATAGGAGGTGCAGCGTAACGGTCAGCCACAGCTGACACCCTCCCCCACTCCCACCACTCCGGGGCTGAGGCTGCTGCTGTTCTTTGGGGTGTGGAGGGAGGCACGTCGATGTGGCTAAGATTGGTGACTGAGGGATTTCGGCCCATAATTAACATCCCCAACTTCCTCAAGCCCAATAAACTGTGCCGAGTACAGCTAGCCCTCCCGAAGTTTACCCAGTTTAGGCTCCACCATTTTGCAAAGATGTGACAGCTGTCAGCCAAACAGTTCCTGTCTCTGCCTTTTTCCTGAATGGCTGCAGCTGTCCCAGAGGCCCTGCTCCCACTTGAATCAATCACAGGTCTGTACTTGGACCGATCAGCAAGCCCAAATCTGAGGCAACCGTGGGCTGACACCTGGACCATCAAGAGCATGAGCATCAGCAGCGCTCCCCTCACACTTCTCAGGTTAATCTAGGAGGGGTCCTCTGGTGTACTGATGCCCCTGTGCTGCCATACAGGTCCTAGTACAGGAAAGCCTCACTTTGGTGGTCCTGTAAATCTTCTCATGATTTATTTCCTGAGTAGGGCAGGCTCGGAGGGCCTTGTAAATCTACTTGGGATCTTATTCTGTGTAGTGTGGACAGAGTAGTCACTTTAAAAGAAAGAGTAATAAATACTAAGGGTGTTAACAGAGACCAGCATCCAGCAGAATCAGCCGGTGGTATCCTGCATAGGCTGGTCTTGAACACTGGTGGCTAGAAGCGGCCAGTAGCAACAGCCAGCAGGGTCAGCAGTGGCATCCAGCATTAACCAGTTTTGACTGGTGGGGCAGAAGGGCTGCTAGCAGAGTTGTTCTTTACCTGGATTGAATTTCTGCGTTGAGCAAAATGAATCCTCAGCTGACTGAGGCAATGAATACATACAGGTGCAGCTTGTCCCTTTGCAAATGGTGACACAAAAAATATACTATTTGTTCCACTTTTTTTTTTTCTTCCAGTCAATGACTTTTCTTGGGAGGTTATTCTTCACCTGTTCATCCAGACCTGACCTGCTCTTGAACAGCAGTACAGTTGCCTAAGGTAGTTAATTCTGGCTGTCAAATTGACTTGAGCTGAGAGATGCTTAGAAAATGGGCAAAGCCTATTACTGGGTGTGTCTGAGAGGCACATTTCCAGAGAAGTTTGCTGTGCAGGTCAGAGAACAGAGTGGGCAAGCCCTGTCTTGGCTGTGGGTGGCACTGGCCAGCAGGCTGGAGACCCAGATGGAGAAAACAGAATCATAGAAAGGGGGAAGCTTGTACCTGCTCCTATTCAACTTTTGTTGAGCGGGTGCATTGTTTTGCTGCTGCTGTTGTCCGTAGGCATCAGACTCCAGATCCTTTGGTATTTGAAAGTAGATTTGCACCAGTGGACTCTCTAGGAGGCCTTCAGGCCTTCAGCCTCGGACTGGGGCTGTATCATCCATTCCTCTTGTTCTGAGGTTGCCAGCTCCTTGGAGTTGCAAATAATACTTTCAGTACCTCATTGTTCATAACCACAATTTGTTGAACCAGTCTGCCGTTAAGGGATATTCAGGGTTTCCCTTCTCCACTCTAGACTTTGTTAGTACAGTGATTCAATGCTATTTTGATAAAATACTCTTCTATCTATATGTAGACATTCCTAGAAGAAAATATTTGTACCTTTTTAATTCATTTGTGCATTTTAAACTGTAGTTGAAATTGCCAAATTGCCTCCCTCAAGAGGTTATAAGATGTTGTATTTTCTTCAATTATTTTTAAGGGTATATGTTTTCCTACATAGTTGCCAAAACATTTCTATCCCAAAATTTAAAAAAAAGGATTTATTCTGAATTTTTATTCAAGTTACAGATGTTATTATTGTGGAAAAACAAAGGAACTAAATCCTTGACAACTAGTTCATACCCTGATGGCCTTTATTTGAGTAACCCCAGTCCTCATTGTATTAATAATTCTTGTTGAAAATTATATTTTATGGATTTGGGGAGGATGGTGTAAGGTAAGAAGGGTAGTTGAAGAAAAATAAACTTTAATGTGATTTTATTTTTATGAAATGTGTAATCTTATAAAAAAGAAGAGTCTGAAAGTAGATATGTGAAGTGTTAATAAGAATGTAGTTCCTCCTTAATGTAAACTGCAGTCAATCCAGTGATTAAACACTACCTGGAATTCTGCAAGGTGTGACTCTGCTCTCTAGACATGGCTGGAGAAAAATTTAGGTCAAAAGAGGAAGCCGAGATTTAAAAAAAGTGTACTCTTATCAAAGGTATGGTTTTTGGTGCTAAAAATCCTTTTTTTTTTTTTTTTTTTTTTTAATT